TGGCCATCAAGATGGTCAGAGGGTCATCAGATCAGTACATCACCGGCAGCTACCACCACCAGCCCTACCTGTCACCGCAAAACTATGCTCATCAGCTGCAAACCCGAGCAGCCGTCCACAACACTGGTGTGCGCTCCTTCAGAGGAAACTCCGGTGGTGACACCTTTGCCAGCAGTGGACTTCTCCAGGGACCTTCTTCAGCTCCAAAGAACGGCAACAAGATCGTCGACTTTGGCTACCACCACTACGAGGCGATGGAGGGCCTGCTCCGCCAGTTTGCCGACTCCTTTCCGCAGCTCTGTCAGCTGTACAGCATTGGCAAGTCGGCGCAGGGTGAGTTCTGCTGTTGTTTTTTGGTTTGTTTCGATTTGGTGCATTTTTTTCGAAGCAGCAGGTGTTGGTGTTGTTGTTCTGTTGCATTTGTTTTTAACCTTGATTTTGTTTTCTTCTTTTTCGCATGTTTATTTGTCTGTCACTGATGGTGATTAGGCCGCGAACTGTGGGTGCTCCTCGTGACAAAGAACCCCGGCGAGGAGCCGCTGCTGAAGCCCAACTTCAAGTACATTGGCAACATGCACGGCAATGAGGTATAGCAGTGGTTGAGCAGTGTTTCCTGGTGCACACAGCTGCTGCAAAAGTTTAATCTTGTGTTTTCCACCACTTTCAACCCTTGTTTTNAGCAGTGGTTGAGCAGTGTTTCCTGGTGCACACAGCTGCTGCAAAAGTTTAATCTTGTGTTTTCCACCACTTTCAACCCTTGTTTTTTATTCTGTCATTTTGCAGGCAGTCGGCCGCGAGCTGCTGCTGCACCTGATCGAGCACCTGATCGCCGGGTACACCGCCGGCACTGATCCCTACGTGAAGCACCTGCTGGAGAACACGCGCATCCACATCATGCCCACCATGAACCCGGACGGCTTCGAGTCGGCCATTGAGGGGCAGTGTCTGGGCGGGACGGGCCGCTTCAACGTCCGCGGCATTGACCTGAACCGAAACTTTCCCGACCAGTTTACCATGAGACGGGAGCAGGAGCAGGAGGAGGTGGCGGCGATTCGCGGCTGGGTCGAGCGCATTCCCTTTGCCCTCTCGGCGAACCTCCACGGCGGCGCCCTGGTCGCTAGCTATCCCTATGATAATACGCC